GTGCAAATGTAGTTGACAGGTTAATAATAATTAACTTGACAATAATGCTTTTGGAAAGGTTCTTGAAATACTAAAAATGTCGCTTTTTGCAAATGAGTCAGCTACCCTACTATAAAGCCCTTCATAATCCTTGGTGTCACTTTATTTTCGGTTATGTCGGGTAAGTCTAGTTGAGTACCTTCTCGTACTCAGGGTTTTATTCCCACTTGTTGCAGATGGGCAGATGTATTACGGCTACTGTATCAACTGCCTTTATCCTGCAATGGGTGATGCTTAGGACCATGGGCATGGTCATTCCTTATATCTCGTCTGATGCTTTTGTTGGAGATGATCATTAGCTGGCACTGTATTTGAACTCCGTGTGAGTGTGTGTGGTTTTGAACAAATGGCTTTCGCTACTTCTATTTGAACTCGTTTTGTAATAACTATGTTTAAACTCTGATGCATCTGAGATGCGAATTTTTATGTAATATGTGATGGTGACCGTTAAACTTATTACGATCTTGGCTGGTATGTGAGTTGGTTTGAAATCCTTCGTGATTTCATGGACTACCGGGTTATACGAGCTTAAGTTTGCTAAATCGTCTGCTCTGGCGGATGATTTTTTTACTTAATTTCGTATAATTGGTCGGTTATGTTACACCAGCAAAACCAATCTCGTCTCACCTCCCCTTAATCACGAACCCAAAACACCTCCGGCGCGAGAAAATTATAATTATAGGACACCAAACAATGCGCTTCGCAATTATAGGACTCCAATCGTTAACTTCGTTAAAATGACCCTTGAAACATTGGCTTCTTATTTTAGATGACATTTGGTATATTTCTTCACTTTGTTAATCAAAATACATGTATTTTATCCCTCTTGTGACCCTTCTGCCCTACTCGGATACTCCTCACTCACTGAAACACGAGAAGCTTCCTAACCCTTCCTCTGCCGGCGGCGGGCGCCCGCCCTACCGCTTCCCCCGCGCTGTAGCCTGCTGGCACCTCCGAGCGAGGCCGCGTCCGCCGCGCACACCGACCTGCCGCCTCCGGGTGAGACCGCCGCGTTGGCAAGCCACACCGACTTGTCGCCTCTCCGCTCGCCCGCTACCCTCTTACTCGCCTCGGCAGCAGGGCCCCGCTCGTCCCCATCGCGCTGGGCCGCTTGCAGGAGGGACGAGAGCGGTTGGCGACGAGATTACTGGAGGACACGGTGGGAGCCCCGCGCCAACCCAGAACCTGTACCCGAGCGTGACGGCGTGCGCAAGCGTGGAGGCAAGGATGGCGAGCACCTGGAACGATCGCGAGAACTCGAGCCACAGAAACGCTATGGCGACCATATCTCAGCCCCGACAGCAGCGTCCCGCGAAGATGGCGGATGACGCGGCCGCCATCAGCAGCGCGTGCGCCACGGGGAGCGGGCCCAGGGGCACCGCAAGCGCACCGTGGAGAGCAGTGACGTCGACCATGGCAAAGGGGCGTGGCGTCCACGGCAACGGTAGTCGGGATCAGGAGCAGCACCGATCGCGGCGAGGCGAAGCAAAGGTTCTGGATGGTGGCGTGAAGCGAGGAAGGGTTAGGAAGCAGCAAAGCGCCGGTGCAGCGAGGGATGGAGCTGAGGAAGCGAGTGAGGAGTATCCAAGGCAGAAGGGTCACAAGAAGGCCAAAATACATGTATTTTGATTAACAAAGTGAAAAATACGTCAAATGTCATTTAAAATAAGAAGCCAACGTTTCGAGGATCATTTTAACGAAGTCGATGATTGGAGTCCTATAACTACCACCGAGCGCGTTGTTTGTGCCCTAAAATTACAATTTTCTCCTCCAGGGCCGCCTCCGCCATGGTCCGCCTACCTGGCGTGGCAAAGGAGTCTTCGCGGTCTGGTGGTGCGCTGGCCTCACGCCTTTGTCCGGCGACCCGTGCGTCGACTTCTTCTTCCAGATCGTTCCTAGCGTCACCTTGGCCGCCGACGTGGCGGCACTCCTCGACGTCGCCTGGTCCCGGACGCGCGCGCACGCTCTCAGGCTCGTCTGCCACCTCCGCGGCGTGCGCAGCCTGGGCAAGGGCGACAGGGAGGGCTTCTACGCCGCCGCGCTCTGGATGCACGCGCGCCACCCCAAGACGCTCGCCGGGAACCTGGCCAACTTCGCCAGGTTCGGTTGCCTCAAGGACCTGCCCGAGATCCTCTACCGCCTACTCCACGGCGACCGCAAGGGCGAAGAAGATGGCGACCGTCGCAAGCAGCAGCAGAACGTACACCGCCGCGGCATGAAGCGCCGGCGCAGGGACCGCGAGTTTCAGGCTGCCAAGGAGACGAAGCTCCAGGAGGAGGCGCAGCTCGCGCGGTCGGCGCTCTCGCGTTACGAGTCCGACGAGGCTTTCCGCTTCCTCTACGATCGCGTGGCTGAGATGTTCGCCGAGATGCTCAAGTCCGACGTCGAGCACCTGGGCGTGGGCGACACCACCAAGATCGGGCTAGCGGCCAAGTGGTGCCCGTCGCTCCGCTCGTCGTACGACCGTGCGACCCTGCTCTGCGAGGCCATAGCCCGCCGCATATTCCCGCGCGAGTCCAGCCAGGAGTACCTCGGACAAGCACTATGCTTACCGCGTCCGTGACCGGCTCCGCCGCGAGGTGTTGGTGCCGCTGCGCAAGGCGCTCGAGCTCCCGGAGGTGTACATGTGCGCGTGCAAGTTTGAAGAGCTGCCGTATGCGCGGGTGGCGTCCTTGGCGATGAACAAGTACAAGGAGGTGTTCCAGAAGCACGACAAGCACCGCGTGGCCGGCTTCTTCGATGAGGTGCGCACCGGTCGCGCCAGGATGCCCGCGGACGCGGTGCTGCCGCACGAGCTGATCGCCACAGCGCTTAAGGGGGAGCACGACGAGGCTGCCGAGCTCCAGTGGCGTCGCATGGCGGCCTCTCTAGCCGCTGAGGGGCGCCTGGCCAACTGCATCGCGGTGTGCGGGCTCTCCTCGGCCGCCACGGACACAGCGGCCTCTGCAGCCATCGCACTGGGGCTCCTCATCTCTGAGCTCAGCCAGGAGCCGTGGAAGGGGCGCGTGATCACCTTCAACGAAACGGCACGAGCCTCAAGGAGAAGCTGCGTCCGCTGGTGGAGTCCATGGGGAAGCATAAGAAGGGCGCGAACCTGCAGGGCATCTTCAGCAAGATCCTGCAGCTGGCGGTGGCCGGCGGGCTGTGCAGGGACATGATGGTGAAGAGGGTGTTTGTGCTGAGCGACATGGACTTCGACGGGTGGACGGGCACCGCGTCCCTGTGGAAGACAGAGTACCAGGGCATCTGCGACAAGTTCGCAGCCGAGGGGTTCACGGTGCCGCAGGTGGTGTTCTGGAACGTGGGGACCTCCAAGGAGTCCACGGCGGTGGTGGCAGCGCAAGAGGGCACGGCCCTGGTGAGCGGCTACTCCAAGAACCTGGTGAGACTCTTCCTGGAGGCGGATGGCGAGCTAACGCCGGCCGCCATCGTGGCAGATGCCACCTCTGGCCCGGAGTACGAGGCGCTAGAGGTGTTCGATTAATTTTTTTTTTCGTGCGCATGTGTTCGTGATCGATTGCTGTTGGCGACATAGTGATGAAAACTCTAAAAAAAAAGTTATATGCAGGCATGCAGCAGTTTTTGCTGAATAGGGTCTTCTGGTAGAACCACAAAACTCGTAGTCTCAGCATCTGGTATTCCGATATGGCATAATTTGAATCGTGGAAACGATGCTTGAATAAAGTTTTATCATCTTCGATTTGAAATATAATTTTTTTTTTTTAGTTTGCAAGCACTGAATATGTGTTGTCATGAGAGCACTTGAAGTCTTAGAACTAATTTGTATTTGGCACACTAGGGCATTGATGTTCTATGCAATGCATGGTGAAGAATGCTGGTTTTGCTGAGGGTAGTAATTATTAGGATAATACATGTACATAATCGATCATGGAGGTGGACGGCCGGCCATCTCCGGCCCGGAGTACGGCGTGCTTTTAGGTGTTCGGCTGATGTTTCCAGTTGGGACTATGTGTGCTGCTGAATTGGCGTACTCAGAAAGGATTCTCTCTAGCTGCTTGTTTAAGCTGTTGTATGCCGTCTCCGGGTGCATCGATAGTATTTTTTTACAGAAAGGCACTGGTCTTTCCAATCGCGAGCCAAAGCATTGACGAAGCAAACAAAGGCACCCACCACCTTTCAGCATGAAGGCCAATAATGCAGCTGTTCAACAATGTCTATTAGAAGCTACGTCGAAGAGCCCACTCTTGTTTAATATGGCATCAAAGGCTCTGGCGTCAAGAAATCGTTAGCTACATAGCCCAGTTCTTGTTTATTTATATAATACAACAATGGCTAACACTATGCCATCAGGCTGTACAAAAATCTGCCTGTTCTTTTGTATAAATCAGGCTCTCTAATTAAAGCATATTGCATTTGCATGTCCACAACACTATTCCCTAGCTCTATGTTTCAGTTGACTACATAGACCTTTAGAAGTTGGTAATTGTGTCGACGGCCAAATCACTGTCAATCTCCTCGTTGAACATGAGAAGTTTTAAACGGGAAGCAATTTTCACTGAGGCACTAAAAGGATAAACCAAAATACCAACTGAGAAGTGAGAACTCGCAGGAAAGACAACCACAGTGTACATAGCATTGGACGACCTCAGAAAATGTAAACAGAATTAGAACACCAACCATTTGTATATACACATGGACATTGCTACAAAATTATATATACACTACAAAATTTGTTTGAGCCACACAGCTCAGTCTAAAATAAAAGATGACACTAGGTGCCCAAAATCAGCTATCTCCATCACTATCCATTCGTGCCTATAAGACTAAATAAGCCTTGTACATGGAGATAATATGGCATTTCAGTGCAAGCTGGGTGCATTTGATGTGCACGGGTAACTTAATTTACAGACCCGTCCACATTAGGCACCTTTATCTCAAAGTAGCAGTCTAGCAGAGACCCGAGTCTCTATATACCAAATGAAAATGGCAACTCCTATGTTTCATCTTCTCTCGACCTTCTGTTTCTGCCGAGATGAAGTTGTTTCAAAAACAATTACACCACTAACTTGCCTCCAAGCGTTTGTATCAGTCATATAAACTGGAGTTGGGAGCCCTCCAACCTCTTGAATTCTTCTCTTCTGTCTGGTCAGATTCTTGATCTCTGTTTGATTTGTATCCTTTGGCCCACTACGAACAAGGTAAGCAAGATCAGACCTCAGAGTTCTCTGATTAGACCGTTCTTCTAACCTATGCTCCAAGTTATGATTTATGTGTCTTCGCCAATACGGATTCTCTTCATTCTTTCCTCGGTACCAATTCCCTTCATTCCTTGGTGACCTGCTTGTGGAATTCTTGTTAAATGAACTGCTCGTAGTCACACAACTAGAAACCTCTGTATTGCTATTGCTATTGCTAAAACTTCTCCTTGAAGATTGTGTGTGCCTCAGAGCAGGAACTGGGGTGCTTACTATCCACCGTCTATCCGTCGGAACTGGAGCTGCAGCCAGCTTGATCTGCTGTTTATCCATCGGAGTTGGAGCTGGCTTCATCTGCTGTTTATCCATCGGAGTTGGAGCTAGATTGCTCTGCTGCTTATCCATTGGAGTTGGAATCGGCTTGATCTGATGTCTATACATTGGAGCTGGAGCTGCAGCCAGCTTGATCTGCTGTTTATCCATCGGAGTTGGAGCGAGATTGCTCTGCTGTTTATCCATTGGAGTTGGAATCGGCTTGATCTGATGTCTATACATTGGAGCTGGAGTTGGAATCTGATTGATCTGATGCTTATCCATTGGAGTTGGAGTCGGCTTGATCTGATGTTTATCCATCGTACTTGAAGTTGGTACTGGATTGATAACAGGACCCATGGAGCATGGGGCTCTTTTCTTAAATAACTGAAACATTTGCTGCACAACAACTGCAGATGTATTTGATTGTCAGACATGACAGGAAAGTGATGGTAGTGAGAATACATAACTGATATAGCTCAGTGAATGATAAAGAGAAAATAACTTCATCTGCTGTGTACCTTTCAACGGATCTAGAGCAACATCGAACACATGCCACCATATTATCTCATTCTGGGAAAGATCAACGTTGTGAAATTTGGCAGCAAGGCATAGTGATCCAGCAGCTATGTAGTGTGGTTTGAACTGCACAACTAAAGTAGTCGGAAGCCTGCATGTATAAGTGTCAAACCAGCTCAGATTGCCAATTCCAAGAAGAATGTTTAACAGAATAGCTCAAGCAACTTACGTATCATTAATGAGACTCATGGCAGATTGTCTCAGTTCCTTCTGGACGATCCCCAGTTTCTTCAGAGCGAACTTTAGTGGTTCATAAGGATGCTGTATATTGAAATCAAACCTAATGGTTGAAAGCAATAGTGTCTCCCCCACCAAAATCAGTGCTTTCTGCTTTGCAAGAACTTCCTGCTTTTCATTGGAAACAAAAGTTGGCACAGTAAATAAGTCAATCAAACATCACAAAAGCAACAGGCCAAGTGTCAAGGAGTAATAATAGTGCAAAAGGTGAAGAAAATTAGATACCTCCTGGTGGATTCTCTTAGCAGCATCAGGGTTTTTCTGGTACATTGTTTCATATGCCACAATGACCACATGTTTTAATAAGCAAGGTGTGTCTTCCATCTTTGAAGCAAGAAATACACAAACAGTTGCAACAGTCTGAAAAACACAGAGGGTTGGTAAATGGTAAGTAATCTTCAACTGTTAGCTAACCAAGAGAATGGAGGAAATGGTAAAAAATTGTATTGCTGAAAATAGAGCACTCAAATGCGTGCAGTATTTTAGGGGAGATATATTCATGGCCCAAAGAATAATATGTAGAGCCTAAATTCGATTAAATTTACCACGAAGTAATTAGATAGTAGTACAACAAGTTGCTAATACTTACTGATACGAGTATTATTAGAAAGTGCTGCTTCAAGTTCGATAAAGTTGCTCCAAAAGAATCACACCTTCGTCCACGATTGCAATTTAGGTGCTCTGGGTAAATTGCTTTAATTAAAACTCACACCCAGACCCCTTATTTGTGAAGGTGAAACTGCTCGACTCCTCGGGAACAATTACAAACTCATGTTTCAGCTTTTCTTTTCTTTTTTTGAAAAAAAAAGAAGCTTCATGGCAGTTTATACCACCCAAGCGACCAGTACACCATTTAATGTGTACCCGAGTGAAGTACACACATGTGGACATATTTCAAATGAAGCCACCTTGATTATATCTGTAGACCCACACACTTCTGTGTTTTTCTTATGACACACACTACCCTCGACTAACCCCCAGCAAAGGTTACATAGTCAGGTAATGTTAGGGTCTGATAGCCATAATGAAAAATATTTTGTATCTACACAAGAAAAAGAAATTAGTTAATCTCTCCGTGAAAATGAAGGGAAAAAGTTAGTTAGTTGCCCTGCTGGAAAATAATAGGCAAGTACAGGATTCATTTTACTGAAATGTGAAAGCTATTGCAGAGAAGGCCAAGCTTCTTATATATAATATGAAAAAATATTTAAATTGCTCCTTCGGTTACTCCTTAAATTCTTATATATAATATGAAAAAAATATTTAAATTGCTCCTTCGGTTACTCCAATCATTTAAGGATGCACTTATATATACATCATATATGGCAAGCAAATAACTTAAGGATGAATGGTCATAATTCATTAGTGATAAATAACGGTTTGGCCCCAATTGGTGAATTCAGATAAGGCAAGTGCTATACATTCTCTACCAATCTTAATCTACATAAATCAGGTCATGTTATACAGAAAAAAAGAAAAGCACCCCTCTTTGTGGCTTTGCCGAGTGGTTACAGCATACCCTATGTTCATTAAAACAAAGCAACAATAATTAACAGTGCTTGTTTACTCCAGAGACCAATGTGCAGGATTCAAATAAAACCTCTCATAGGAATATTGGGTGGGTGCTGCCACGAGGGCAACAATCAAGTAAGTAGGCGTGCATTATTATATAATTATACTGCGCATATCTTACCTGCCACTCGTTCTTGGCGTGAGACTGGCGGAGGTAGAAGCGGTGGCAGAGCATGATCGCCGTGGCGATTGTAATCTGCGGCCTGCAACGGCAGAAAGAGGGCCTCTTTGGTCAGTGAAAGACCGACAGAGCAGAGCACAATGCAATGCAATTCGGCCGTAGTTGGCATAATAATACCATTTAAAGTTCTATAAACTAAACTACTAATAGCAGATTGAACCGAACGCAGCCAACCAGCCAGCGACGAAACCGCGAGGGGTGAGAAGGACAATCACTCACAATTGGAGCCTGATGCAGACGTCGCGGATGAAGGAGCAGTAGGTGGCCCGGAGCTCGGCCTCCTTGGCCGCGCTGACGCCGTCCCGCCGCGACGGCGAACCGCGCTCGATCTCCTCCCGGCTCACGTACCACGACGCGTACTGCTCGCCGCACTCCCTCTCCCCCTCCTCCTGCTCCTCTCCCCGCGCGGCGCCCATCGGGATCGCCGCCTCCGCCGCAAACACACACGGGTGAAGAAAGACCGAATTGAAAGACCGGACCTTGGCCGCCTGTGTAGGAAAAAAGAAATCGGAGTCCCGGCGAGGGTTGACGGCGACGCCGAAAGAAGCTTAAGGGCTCTCGGGATTGTTGGTTGGGGGCAAGCGGCAAGGCAACGAAGGGAAGCGCCGAAGCGGAACCGGAAAAGGGCTCGCTCGTCGTCCGCGGTTGGGTGGGTGGGTGTTTTGGGGGAGGCTGACGAACGGAACGAAGCGGGAGAGGCGGCGGGGGCGGAGGAGACTTGACTTGGCGGCTGCGCCACGCGGAGAGAGAGAGTCGCGGACGCGTACGGGGTGGCAGTGCGGTTCGTTCGAGGTGGAGCGGGGCCAGCGGGCAGGGGCGGGGCGGCGGGCGGGGCAGGGGCACAGCACGCGGATCGGAACGGCGTCCGTTGCTTGCCCTTTCCTTGCGGTGCCCGTTCGGATCCAAAGCGGCACGTGCGTTGTTGGCGGGTGGGCCTGCCTTGGGGTTCGGGCTGGACGGACGGACACAGCACACCTCGATGCCGTGTTGGATTCGATATTCTTTTTTCTTTTGTTTTCGGCACGTGGACCTCGCGGAGCCAGCTCGACGTCCGTGACGTCAGGCTTCTCGCAGCTGTCCGATCCGTTTCGGATTCTTAAAAACCAGTTTTTTCCGTAAAAATCTAGATTCTGACTAAAAAATAGTGGGGTGTTTGGATCCCTTAATCTTTAAAAATCTGACTTCATTTATTGCTCTATAAGTCACAAAAATTAGCAAAACCAGGGTATCAACAGCTTTCTAGTTGTTAAGAATGACAAAAACTGGCACTAAAAACTGGGGGTTTAGATCCCACCCAGTTTCTCAAGCTTTTACTTGTGCTTAGTGAACTAGTGGAGTGAATATTGCTTTGCTGTTGCTGAATTTCCTTTTCGGTTGTCATCCTAGTGCTGGTATTTCTAATTGAGTTGTTCAGTGAGGAATGAACTAATGCTATGCAGATAGTAGTTCCCGGAAGCTGTGATGCTATCTTTCTTCCTTATGTTTGGAGCGTATATTTTGTTGTTCAATCAGACCATGATTCGTTTCTTATATAGAGTAGGTCATGATTGCTTGCAGGGTATGGACTGGTGTCTCTGTGTCAGTTCACCGCATTGGCTACTAGTTGTGTTGCTAACTTCCTATAGCATGAAGAAGCAATGCCTACATCAAACTGCAAGTTTTTTTTTTGAATTATTTGTACATTGCCACCTTGTGATGGGGGATTGTAGAGATGAAAAGCCACACTAACAATGATCTCTTTGTTATACATGGGAATTCCATTTTCTGCACATTTCACCACCTTTCTGCAATCCCTCAGTCTGTCACTCTTTTGCTCTTGTTCAGTCACTCCCCAATCCCCATCCATTTTCTATTTTGGTTGAAGCTAGATTGCTACAATCAATAGCACACAGTGAATTGAAATATAGTTTTATTTATATTGCATCTTGCATTACATTTGTTCAATTGTTCTAGAATTAGATAATAAAATGAAGAGTAAATTTATTGTTTATTGGTTCAATTTCCAAACCAGCTCGAAATCAATTGCTTAATGCCACAATACATTTTTGTTGTGATCTTAAGTGTTCTTACGATTAATATCGAGCACCAAGTATTATGGTCGAACTAATATCTTCCTGTAGTGGATATGTTTACTAGTACTAGGTATCTATTTTCGGTTAGGATGGAAAGTATTTTGTTGGCATTATCAGTTGCCTAGGACCTAAAGAAACACCAGTTGATAATGGTTGTAACTTGTAAATTGTGACCTAAGGTAATTTTGAACTCAACAAATGAAAAAAAAGGATTTCCTATCTATATGCCAAATTAAAAATAAGGGTGGATTGCTTTATGCGCTACTTTTGGCACTAGTCTTTTCAGACTCAGAGCTCTGCCACTGGTTTATACGTCACAGATGTTGCTATCCAACCTTGCTTCTTCTGGGATCAAAGTGTGTAGTGTGACAATGTTTTAAGTAGATGTAAGAGAAATATACTGCTGCTAACTTGGTAAGATAAGAATAGCATAGTCCAGTTACTGTAGTAGTACTGCTAACTAGTCTTTAGTCCATGTTTCCTTGCACAATTATGTTTGTCCTATAATATGGTCCATCAAACTGTTCTGCAGGAAAAAATTTCATCGGAGAATGAGTTGTGGCATTTGTAGAGACATCATCATTGACAGAGGAGTCTTGGATTGTTGCTCACACTAGTAGGTCTTCGATTGCATATTTGTAGTTTCTAGGATTTGATTCATCACCTCCTGTTAGTACATATTGCATTAAGTTCTTCAGGATCAACATTGTTTAACTACTTGGGGACTTGGAATATATATTATTGGGCAGATCAGTATTCGATAATGAAATCTGTAGTCCTGATACCTAACCTAAGCTTGTCATTCTCATTTGATCCTGCGCTGTCTGTGGCTATAATCCACCGTTACTTGCTTATTTCAGTTCTTTGTCTTGCCTGTTACATTTGATGGTCAAACACTTCAGTTCCAAATGATGTTCCTGTCTGCTAGAGTTGCATGCTCTTATTTTGGATTAGTAACCATTCATTCTATTCTCTTGGCACTTAATTTATGCAGCATAATATAAGAAGTTTAGAAAAGTACTTGCATTAGCATAAGTACCAATAGCGCTCCCTCCATTCCAAGTTATAAGATGTTCCAAGTTATAAAATGTTTTGGGTTTTCTAGATACATAGCTTTTGCTATGCACTTAGATATACACTATGCCTAGATACATAGTAGAAGTAATGTGTCTAGAAAAAACCAAAATGTCATATAATTTGGAATGGAGGAAGTAATTGGTTTCCGAAATTTATGAAAATCCCTTTATAAACTGTAATGTGATGCATAGATATATGAATTCCAAATGCCAGGTTTTGCTATACATGCATTGACAACTGGGCTGCCAACACAAAGCGGTGCCCCCTTTGCAAAAGTGAATTCCAACACATAACATGCACTCCAGTAAGTAGCAAATATATTTTATTGTCAATCTTTCCTTTGCTGAATTCATAATACCTGTGGAAGAATTCTGTTGTAGAAAAGTTTATCTCAATGTCTCACCTTGGAAGGTAGAATTGCACTAATTGTTTGATATTGCTATTTCATTGGTGAAATGGTACAATTGGAGCTAACGACGAAGATGAATACTCTTTAACCAGGTATAGGCCAATAGCAGCAATTTTTTTGTACTTCTGGTATGCGCACATGTTAGTTTAACACTAGTATCCTTAATTGTTTATGTTATATATATATTCTGCGCTCCCCCTGTTTCCTCCTAAGTTCTTAGGCAGCCTATTTCTATCATATGTTTTTGCCTTTTATCTCAGGATGTTGTGTTTTCATTATCAATAAAAATAGAGGACTGGTTTGAAGTTTTTGAATCACAATACCAGTGAAAGCTTGCCCTTGATATCATTTTGAGCAAAGTAACAAAAAGTGATATTTGAGTCACCTTACATGTGAAGCAGGAAATTTTTATGATATACGTGGATGCCTGTGCGTATGCACATCATTTTCATGGGAATTCATGCCATATCATTTTTCCATAATGACTCGATTGTATATTTCTTATTGAGTAAAATGCACCAGAGGTCCATTAATTTTCGTTAGGGTGTCATCTAGGTCCATTAACTTTGAAACTGCATTTTTGGGTCCATTAACTTTCGTTGGGGTGTCATCTAGGTCCATCAACTTTTACACTGTATTTTTTGGTCCATGAACCTTTAAAATGATTCACTGCAGGTCCATGACATTTATTTAAGAGTAAAATACACCGGAGTTCCATTAACTTTTGTTGGGTTGTCATCTAGGTCCATTAACTTTGAAACTGCATTTTTGGGTCCATTAACTTTCGTTGGGGTGTCATCTAGGTCCATCAACTTTTACACTGTATTTTTTGGTCCATGAACTTTTAAAATGATTCACTGCAGGTCCATGACATTTATTTAACCTTAAATCCAACGGATGCATGCACGTCGGCTTCGGCCTTGTTCAGTTGGGTTCGGCTGCAGCCCGCACGCACGTTCCGCACCAGCAGCGAAGCAAAGCAAAGCCCGTGACGAGACACGAGACAGACAGCGGTGGCCGGTGGGCGATGGGATGCTGCTCCGTCGCCTCGCCGCGCGCGGTACCTGTCTGTCCGAGCCCTACTCGGCTACTCTGATGTATGCTCAGACTGCGCGAGCCGGGATGCGCGCACGTCACCGGTTTCCGGTCGGCACAGACGCACAGTGAGGCCGTCCTCCTCTCCTTCCCCACCCTGTTCCGGTGCAGGCGGCTGGCTGCCCTTACGGGAGCGGAGACGGAGAGCGCCAGGGCGCCAGGCGCCAGCGATATTGCGGCAGGCCGGCAGCTTTGCAAGTTGATCAGTTGGGGGCACGCCCCACGCCATCAGATCTGCCGCCCGCGCAAAACGACGAACGTAGTGAACGTTGCTTGCTGCGCATCGTCCGCACACGAAAACACCAAACGACGTATACGGCCAACCGCGGATGAGGCAGGCAGGCTTGCCTACTACGTAGTAGGCGTCTATGCTCATCGCTCGTGCAACGTCGCATGGTGCCCAGCCAGCCGTGTGAGAAGGACATCTGATGACAACTTGCTGCTAGCTACGGCGAGGTACGGCGCCGAGCCGCCGTTGATGCTGTGAGCCTGTGGGTGAGATCGACGGAAATGTCACCCTGTTCCGGGTGGAGGCCAACATACAGGCGGTCATCTGTCCGTGGCCTTTGGCAGTCTCCTCGGCGGTGGCCGGTGGGGGCGGCGTCCGGGCAGGGCGGCGTGGACGCACCTGCAGGCGGTTGCCAGTACGGTGTGGGCGGCGTCCGGGCAAGGCGCCGCGGCTTCTCGGCAGCACAACGCGCCTGCGCAGGTGGGCAGGCAGGCAATGTGCACGGCCTCGGCGACGGAGCACGGGAGCCCGGAGCATCCCATCGCCCACTGGCCACCGCTGTCTGTCTCGTGTCTCGTCACGGGCTTTGCTTTGCTTCGCTGCTGGTGCGGAACGTGCGTGCGGGCGTCCGTCGTCGAGTTCACCGGCCATCGCCCATCGCGCACGCGTGGCCGCCGCGAACTCAGACCGCCCTGCCGCTGCCGGCCCGTGCTGAGATCAGCGTCGACGACGAAAACGTGCCGGTTCTAACGGCGAAACGGAAAAAAAGTAGGCTATAAAGCGGCTTTGTGGCCGCGCCGGAGCTGGAATCAGAGTTTGGTTTCATCAGGCGGGCGGGCGGGACTGGGGAGACGCGGCCACCGTCATCGCATCTCGCAGTGAAGAGGCCCCCAACACCCAAACGTACCGTGGACGAAGCGAGACACAAACAGCGACCCTCCTTCACTGCAGTTCGGTCGATCGACGAGTCGTTTCTGCCTTGCTCGTTGACCTCATTACTACTACTCGTTTCTGCGTGGAGACGTGATGGATGGAACATTGGAACCGCGAACGACCCATCCATCCAACGCAATGCACTGCACTTCTCTCCGCGGCGAGCAAATGCGTTCGTCCTTTCTGTTTGAATCGGTCGGTAGGACTTCTCGCTCGTTTGTTCGTGTCAGAAATGCAGGCTTCAGGGCCCCACTGCACTAATTAATAAGCTTTTGCTTTGTGTTTGTGTCGTGCCACCATGGCCTATGCTCATCACCAGACCACAGTAGACAACTGCAGTTATTCTACCAGCAGCATCGGATCAAAAGTGAGCCACAGGTGTTTGACACGGACCTTGCTTCATTCAAACTACGTATACGTATAGCTACCAGCAGTATTTGACAGTTATATTTGCGGCCCAGTTGAATAAACAACACAAATAGTAAGTTGGTTTTAGGTTGCAGCATCTATAGTTTCGAGTCTTTTCGGATTTATAAATACGTGCAGTTAATCCGTCGTCGAGTTCACCCGACGGGCTGCGGCCGAACCCAACTGAACTGGTGCTGCCCTGGCCCCGTTCCTGGCTCGTGCATGCATGCATGGCTCCACCGACGGGCTGCAGCCGAACCCAACTGAACTGGCGAGTGCAGGCATGGCTCCACCGATGAAAAGACCGGAGGTTGAAGCCGACGTGCATGCATGCATGCGTTGGATTTAAGGTTAAATAAATGGCATGGACCTGTAGTGAACTATTTTAAAAATTTATAGACTAAAAAATGCAGTGTAAAAGTTGATGGACCTATATGACACCCCAACGAAAGTTAATGGACCCAAAAATACAGTTTTAAAGTTGATGGACCTAGATGACACCCCAACGAAAGTTAATGGACCTCCGGTGCATTTTACTCTTTCTTATTTTATAATTCCTCCAATTTTATGTTTTTCCAACCAATGCTCTAATAAATAAAATTAAAACCATGTCATGACTTGCTCATTGTAGTGAACTATTACGTTTCTCATTGTTTTGAACCAAGTATTCATGCTTCTCGTGCAGCTGTGATGATGATTGGTATGTGCAAGAGGAAAGCAGCACACTTTCCTTCCCATCATACTATATTGATGCAGAAGTAACAATACTCAGACAGCACTCATCATCTCCTTCCAAACAATCATACTCCTCTGTCCCACAAAGTTGATTGTGTGGCTTGCTCTGTTTTATCGCATTCTCCAGGCAGTAGTTTGTTTGGATGATGGTGATTGCAAGATTCGGAATGGACTTGTGGCAGCTGAGGATGATTCAACTTTAGATACATCTTTTGCTTGTGATTCCTGTGATAAATGGTACTTGTTGTTTTGTTATCCTTTATGAAATTATTAATTGGGACTTAGGAACCATATTCCTCTTCTAATTTCATTGATCCTTAACTTTAAACCAGGTATCATGCTATATGTGTGGGGTTCAATCCAGCAATGGCATCTGACAATTCATGGCTCTGCCCAAGGTAATGTGATATCTTCTGACTCTCTTGAATCACCCTTTTGAAAAATTTGCAAGTAGTAATAATTAGTAATCACGCTGAACTTGCTCAAACTCTTATGATACTGAATTATCAATTCCATTTGTAGATGCAAGTTTAATGAAGTGGAACATGAGGCAGATGTAATCTTGAAGCAAAACTTCAGTGAGGAGTGTGTGATTGGCTCTGATAGGACAGCTACCAATGCATCATTTTCTGGGAGGGTGTCAGTATCTGTTGCTGATGAGGGAGAAACTGCCCTTGTTGTATCAATGGTGGGTGTGCATTCTTAAACTACTAGGGGTGGTCTGTCAGAAACTTCACTAGGCCTTAAGACAGCACATGAAACATTTAACTGCAGTTCATATCCAAGTCATTCCAAAGATGCCCTTGTTGCAGATGCTAGTTCCCTGCGGAACACAGATATTTTCAGTACATCCCAGAATAAACCTTCTGAAATAAATGTTGTTCACACTCTTTATTCTGAGCCAACAGAAACGTCATTAGAATTTTCACCAATACGTGAGCCAGCAACAACCATATTTAGCTCAGAGCAGGGTAACATGTCAACTGAACGGTTGGAAGTACCAAAGCTTGTGTCATCTTGTCAAGTAGTAGATAACAGCAAGGAGGCTAAAAGTACTGGAGAGGAGAATGCAGTGGAGCAAAGCAATAATGAATTATCTCCTGTAACCAAATCTCCACAACCTTTCTCATCAGGTATGTTGTGGTCATTTGCATAATCAGATATGGCATATTGATAGCTTGCTTTATTTGGATATACCGGCCCATGGGCATTACACTAACTGCAACCGTGAAAAGTATTCATATGTTGGTCACTGTGTTTCTTACCATTTGTCAAACTAAGTTACTTCAGCAACTATGACATTTCATGTGGCTATGAGATGGCTGTTGCAATCAAGTTTTCTTATGCCGCATTTTGTTCTTGGGCCAAACTTATGCTCATTGCATTATGTACCCAGAATACATATTCCCTTCTATCAATGGTGCTGGTAAGATTGACTAACATTCATGTGTTTATACAGATGCTGTTCAGCAGATGAAAACTGCACAGAACCTACAGTTGCCACTTAGGTGAAAATCCTCGGGAACTTAGATCTCACTTGTTTCATGCCAGTTGTCCATATCATTTCCGTAACCTTTTTATTTGTTTTTTTTTCAGGCATGATGGGCATAATAGCGATGACATGAAAGAAGATGAGGACATGGAATCTGGAAATGAAGTGATCCATCCTGTGAAGAAAGCAAAATTGGAAGTGCAAGAGCAGGACATTAATGTAATTGGAAACTCTGGTTTTTCTTCAACACGTAGTCATACTACTAGTAGTCCTGTAAAAGCTACCGACAACGATATGTCAGAGTCTGTTGCACAACAAAAATCTATTCCTGATATAATGAGCATTGTTGAAGGTGATGTTTACAGAAGAGATCCTGGTAGAGAGCTGGCTAAGCCTGCAGGAAGAAGAGCAGGAGATAAGCCTGGTCCTAGAGTGAAAAAGATCTTCCGAAAGGAAGAAGGAAAAGAATCATCTGCCTTGGTTCAAAAGTTACAGAAAGAGATAAGGGAAGTAGTTAGAGATACAGGCACTAATATACTCGAGAAGGATGGATCCTTTGATGAAAAACTGTCGACTGCGTTCCGTGCAGCTATAGGAAAGTCAGTGGATGGACCAGCCAAAAGTACTAATACCAACCGATTAATGAGAACAAGGAGATCATTGCTTCAGAAGGGCAAGAAACGTGAAAACCTGACCAAAAAGTTGTATGGAACATCTACAGGAAGAAGAAGAAGCGATTGGCATCGTGATTGGGAAGTTGAATTCTGGAAATACCGTTGCTCCCCAGGAATAAATCCTGAAAAGATTGAGACATTGCAATCAGTACTTCAGCTACTCAAGAAATCCTCTGAAATGGACAAGGAAAGTGCTAAGGGGAAAAAGGAAGAGAACAACAACAATTCCATTTTGTCCAGGTTGTATTTAGCTGAAGGAAGGATGATATTAGGCCTCTCTCTGCCCTTGCAGGATGTGCACCATTAGATAAAGGGATTTTTAACTTTTTGCCATCCGGATGGCACTCCTTCGTTTGCCACATTTGTGCGTGCCCCTACACATTTGCCATCGCAAACAGTAATTCTCCTATATTTGTCATTTTTGCTAAGGTGGCACGCTAGCGTGGCAGGGAGCCTGGCAGCCCTAACTTGGCACGCGAAATGACCATGCTGCCCTCGCCTCCTTCTGTCTCCAGCCGGCCCAGCCCCGAGTCAAACCCAGTCCACTCCCCCTTCTTTCCCACTCCTAGCGACGACGGCTGTGGCGGACGCGGCAGCGGCATCGAGTCTCCTTCCCCTTCCTTGGACGCAGGACGACCATACTAGGTACTGCCCGTACTCCCCTAAACCCTATTTCCCAATTGCATTCCCCAATCTAGGCTTTCGATTTGATTCGGTTTCGATTTGATTGGTGGTCCATTTGACTGTAGTGACGTTGTGGTAGCCATTGTTGTTGATCGTATGCGTTAAGATGAAGTGGACTGACTGCCCTCCTTGGTAAGTTCGATGTGCCATAGTGTTTAGTGTAGTTTTTGGGATCCCGTAGTGTTTTGGAGTTGGATGTCTCCTAACTCCACATGTTTCTTTATTTGTTTATGATTATTGTCAGGATTGATCCTAGCAATGCGTTTAGAATCCACGTTAGCGTTGCTAAGTACATAGCCAATGTTGATTATGGATCTGTCGAAATGGATGACTAAGAGCATGATGTTTGGATTGATCTTACCAGTCACTGCTCTCTATCTAAATTTGTGAATGAAATGGCTGGAAAGATCATTTGGGGTAGTGGGCAGCAGCTAGTTGTTTGGGGTCTGGACAAGGAGAGTGGGACATAATGGAAGGTTACTACTGATGAGCAGTTCGGGGAGATGATAGAAGCTAGATGGGATGAGAAGGAAATGGATGTCAGCTGTGAAGTACTTGACAAGGATAAGGTATCATCCAGACAGAACAGAGATGCAGCAGCAGGAAATGTGCCAAATGAGCATAGTGTTCATGCCACATCCGGTGTAACAACGGAGCAAGGAAATGTTGAATGCACAGATGATGCTTGTAGCAGTCCAGAGCATACAAAATCATATGATGTTGTTATTGATTGGTTAGCTTTCACAATATTACCTGAGGAAAACTTAGATGGGATGCTACTGTTTTAGTGGATGAGGAAAAAATCTATGAAGCCATGGGCTTCAAAGCTGCAGATGAGGAGATAGCAGGTGCTGATGGTCCACCAGAGATTCCAATGCCAGAGATTCCTCCTGAGGTGGAAGAAGAAATGGAAGCAGCAGCTATCCCTGTTGATGACAATGAAGCAACTGAGCCCTTGTTTTTCTATGATAGAGACAATCATGACATGTCTGTAGGCACACTGTATCCATCAATGCCTCAATTCAGATTGGCAGTTAAGCAACATGCTATAGTCAAAGAGTTTGAGTTGGGCACTAAGAAATCTGATCCTGAAAGGTTTAGAGGATTTTGCAAATCAAAAGGATGCAAGTGGATTATTAGAGCTAGAACTTAGAGAGATAACAGTGTCAGGGTATATATTACTAACTATTTTTTGTTCTAGAACATGTCACTATTTTTTGATCTAGTTAACCTGCTGTTCTGTGGTTTGTATGAAACTTAGTTCATAAATAAGTCTAATGTTGGCTTGCTTATTTGTTTGTTTGCAGATACAAATAAACTCTAATGTGCATACTTGTGCCTCAAGAAGGAGAGTTTTGAACAGGATGGCATCCCAGGCATAGATTGCAGAGAGAGCAGTGCCTCTGCTTAAAGACAAGCCTCAGATGGGGGCAAGGGAGCTCAAAGAAGAACTTGAGAAGAAATACAAGATCAACATAAATTACCAGACTTGCTGGTATAGTAGGCAGATGGCTGCAGATAAGCTTTTTGGTAAGTGGGACGATTCATTTGATTGGTTATTCAGATTCAAAACAGAGATAGAGCTTAGGCCCCCAGGTAGTGTTGTTGAGATAGACACTGTGAAAGTAGGCAAGAAGGTTCATTTCAGTAGATTTTTCTGTGCATTCAAGGGTAGTATAGATGGCTTCCTAGAGGGCTGTAGGCCATGCATTAGTATAGATTCCACTGCTCTCAATGGGTAGTGGAATGGACACATGCCTATAGCCAATGCTATAGATGGGCACAATTGGATGTTCCCACTAGCATTTGGTTTCTTTGATTCTGAGACCAAAGAGAACTGGGTTTGGTTCATGGAGCAGTTAGGCAAGGCACTTGGTCCATTAGACAAACTAGCTATGTGCACAGATGCCTGCAAGGGTCTAGAGGCTACAGTTAAACAGGTATTCCCAAGGGCAGAGCAGAGGGAATGCTTTAGGCATTTGATGGACAACATGAAGAAAATGTTTTCTCAAGGGCAAGGCAGTGGTTCATTGTTGGGTCAATACATGTGGCCAGCAGCAAGAGCTTACACAGAGGAGAAGTATGAGAGGCTCATGGCCAAGGTTGTTGCAGGTTCAGTAGACATCTTACCTTGGCTAAATGAGCATCACAAGTTACTCTGGGCTAGAAGCAAGTTCTCAGCAGACATTAAGTGTGACTACATAAACAATAATCTTGCTGAGTGCTAGAATGCTTGGATCAAACATCTCAAAGACCTGCCACTGGACTCCCTTGCAGATGCAATTAGGATTAAGACAATGGTCTTGTTAGAGAAAAGAAGGAAGATCTCACTAGCTTTGACTGGTGTCATCCGTCCTGCTGTCATTCACCAGCTAAATGCTACCAGCAAGGGACTAGATCATCTCCAGGTGACTAAAGGGAACCCCCAAGAAGCTGAAGTGACTGTGATGTACAAGGGTGAGGAGATCCGAAGGCATGTTATCTACCTAGATTTGCAGGAGTGTACATGTAAGGAGTGGCAGGTCAGTGGCAAGCCCTGCCCACATGCCCTTGCTGTGATGACCACTGAAAGACAACCATACATGGAAAAGTATGTCAATGGGTACTACTTAGTGAAGAAGTTACAGGCAACTTATGCAGGTGTGATACCTAGCATAACTGACAAGCAACAATGGCCTACAGTTGACAAGGGCTTCAAAGTGTTTCCACCAGTGGCCAAGAAAAAGATAGGACCTAGGAGACAAAGGAAGAATATGATTCTCAGCTGTTTGGAGAGTGAAAGCATCCAGACCCCTAGTTGGGTTTCGGTGATCAATGACAATACGTGATTACTATAACTAACGTGTGTTTTGCAGAGGCAATTAAGTTAGGTCATGGTAATGGAGATCGATTGGGCAATCATAGTGGTCATGCCCCTACGATGGAAATCATTTTGGTTTTCAAAGGATGGACGACAAGGTTAAGGATAGACTAGTTCTAAGTGTCGATTGGAGTTGAAGGGACACTTAGAGTAGTTTAGGACTTTGTTTTTCCTTTGGCCGTACTATTAAGGGGGGTATGGATGGGTAGCTTGACCTAGGTGAGTCTAGTGAGTTAGGTGTGGTGCACACTTGCTAAATCTAGCACTAGGTAGCTCCAAAATAGCCCTTAGATCCAATGGAGCAAACTTCATTCACGTATGATCGAGAGTTGGAAGTGAATGGAGGGTCAAATATCGACCGGACGCTGGTTTCGGTGTGACCGGATGCTGGCGTAGAGTACGGTCAGTTCATTTGACCAAGGTGATTTCGTCTGGTGCGACCGGACGCTGAGAGGTGAAGTGACCGGATGCTGAGGGCCAGCGTTCGGTCGACTCCAGTAAGGTTCCAGAGAGGGAAAATCACGAGCGGACGCTGGCCAGCGTCCGGTCACAACTTAAACACTGGAGATCGGGGAGAACTGACCGGAGCGTCCGGTCAACATGACCGGAGCGTCCGATCACCCCACAGAGGCACATAACGGTTTGTTTTTCAGCAGGTGTTATAAATACTTCCTCCATTCGTGTGTGGGGGTACTTTTGCTCATTCCAACAGCTAAGAAACACCTTTAAGAGTGCCAAGAATAGCAAGGCCCTAGTGAGATGATTGAGATTTGAGAATCCCAAAGAGAGTCCTCATTAGTGAAAGCAAGAGTAGCAAAGTGTGCATCCACCCTTCTCATTAGGCTTGTCGTGGTCAAGTGAGATTTCGTGCTTGTTACTCTTGGTGATCGCATCACCTAGATGGCTTGGTGGTGATTGGGAGCTTGGTGATCATCCGGAGAGCTTGTGGATGACTCAACTCATGTTGTGAGTGGTTGTGGGTGATTCACCGTGACGGAGTATCGAAGAATCAACCCGTAGAGAGCACTTGATCCTTGCGCGGATCAAGGGGGAGCTACACCCTTGCGTGGGTGCTCCAACGAGGACTAGTGGGGAGTGACGACTCTCCGATACCTCGACAAAACATCGCCGTGTTCCTCCTTCTCTCTTTACTTTGTGCATTTACTTTGAGCAATTCAATTCTTATCTTTATATTTATAGAATTGCCTTGCTAGAGTAGGATTGAAACTTAGGTTGCAAGACTTTTTGTGCGTTAGAATATTAGAAACACTTTCTAGGCACAAGGGGTTAATTGCGCTAACCGTAGGGTTTAATTATTGCAAAGAAATTTAGAATTAGCCCAATTCACCCCCCTCCCCTCTTGGGCATCTTAATCCTTTCAATTGGTATCAGAGCCTCGTGCTCACGTATTTAGGCTTAACCGCCTAGAGAAAGATGTCTCACGGGGATGGACCTCCTCCTATCTTTGAGGGGTATGATTTTCCTTATTAGAAAATCCGCATGGAGACGTATCTAGAAGCTCTAGATGTTGGAATACTTAGAGCCGCCTCATAAGGCTTCCCAAAACCTCGGAATGCTACACACCTACAAGGCGATGAGGTGAATTATGAAAAATAGAATGCAAGGCTCGAAACACCATCTTTAGAGCCCTTTGCAAGGATGTGTTCAACCGGGTGAGGAACCACAAAGACGCCCATGCACTATGGTTGGATGTTTGTGCGCTCCATGAGGGAACAAAAAGTGAGCGTGAGGAACGCTATCAT